GGGCCGGAGCTGGCCGAGCAAAAGCTCACCCAAAAATTTTAGGCTCGACTCGAGCTTTAGACTCTGGCCTTTTCGAGCCGAGCCGAGCCGAGCTGGCCAAGCCCTTTTTTTTCTCTTCCTATATTAAGCTGCTACCTTAAAAAGGTAGCAGTATAAGACAGTGTTCACTGCGAACTGTTGCCTTTCAAGGCAGCATTTTACTGCCACAAAGGTTTTATTTTATTTTATATAATAATAAAGGCTAGCGAGCCGGCTCGGGCAAAGCCCGTGTCCCAAAAATGGGGCTCGGCCCGAGCTTTGGCTCGGGTCTACCAAGCCCCGAGCAGAGCCGGCTTGGGTTTTTCACTGGCCGAGTTACGGGTGGCCCGAGCTGACGAGCCTAATTGATATCCCTAGTCTTACGGAATATATGGATAATAAGTGAATAGTAAGTTCTAGATCCTAAAAAATTTATTTATAGTAAGAATGAATTTACCACTGTGTTAACCAAAAACATTATTAAAAAATTTCATTTTCTCAGTCTTCCTTAATGATGTAGTGATTATAATGGAATTGTTCCTTTAGTTGCAGGTACACTTGCTTTCTGCTAGGGCTAACACAATTCTTCCTTTACAGCATCTGCTTTTTCAACTTATTAGGAATTTAGCTCCTTGTGGTCTTTTGCAATTCTATCCAAAGCTTTTTGATGCTATGATGTATTCATATACTAATTTCTGATATCAGACCAACTAACTGCTTTCTGATATTGCTACAAAAAGAATTTCTTTATTGATGTTTGTTTTCGTTTACTTTATATTATAATCTGTCTTCAAACACCTTCTTTAGTAATTCAGTCAAAAATTAGAAGAAAGGATTGATGTCTTCACTTGTAATGGGAGATCTGTATCATGTCATGCGAGTATCATGTAATCTAGTTAGAGCATCTCCACAAGATTCTCTCAATTTTAAAGAGTAAAATACTAAAATAAAAGCTTCAAGAGACTCTTTATTCTAAATTAAAGATGAACTCTTTATAAATAGATAGTATCAAGATGCTCTTACATTGTAAATTAGCAAGCAAGCAACTTATTGTGCTAAATTCACTATTTTTCTCTGAGAAAAAACAGGTGATATTTTTCACGCGGCACCAAACATTGATCATTCACAGGACTTTGTTCGTAGAGATATAAAGGAATGGCTGAATTGGCTCAGAAATGATATTGGTTTTGATGGGTGGCGCCTTGATTTTGTGAGGTGAATGTATAAAAAGGAAAATTTTCCGTTCTATATCACATGCTAACTTTCCATTATTTTCATAAAAAAACTTAGGAATTTGAATAGAGAACAGACACATTTTCTGTGGGTCGGATGCGTAATAGTGTCCACATCTGTGACACATGGTTTGGAGGCATTTTTTACTGTTCAGTTGATTTTGTACTCCTGTCATCATTAGGTTCGAAAGCCATATGGTAATTCCAATATACTGAAACTAGATAAGTTTTAGATGTTATTTATTTATTATTATTTTTTTACGCCTTGTATTAACGGATTGATGGTATGCGAATATATAAAATTAAAAACACTTCTGCAAATCATCCCAGAAATCGTTGTACTTGCAAAAACTGTATAGTGGGACATAATTCCTTTCTTTCTGTTTCAGAGGCTTCTCTGGTGGATACGTGAAAGAATATGTAGAAGCTTCTAATCCTGCTTTTGCAATTGGAGAATACTGGGATAGTCTAGCTTATGAAGGTGGTAATTTGTGTTACAATCAAGGTAATATTTTATTTTCAGTCATTTGTATTTGGAGAATTTTTTTTTCTTTAATCAACCTATATCTGTATTTGCAACTATGGATTGTGATAGTGATCGATTCTTGATCCTTTGCTATTCCTCTTTCTTAGAAACTACTCCTGGATCAAACTATCATTTTCATCCCCCAAATAACTTGTTTCATCAACTGGGCTGGTTTTGTGTAATATTTTGATGCCCCATTAGGATGCGGGAGGAGGCAGCGTAAACAAGAAAAAAAAATTGGCCTTTGCTCTCCTAGTAAATTGCATCAATAAATTTTTTTTTTATTACCTAGGGAAAGATGCTATTAATGCTTGCCAACTTCCTGGTTGGTACATCTTCGAATCTTTCTTTTTGGAGACAAACTTTATGAAAAAATTTCAGGTGCTGGTTACTTCCTTTGGATTGAGGATATTACATCTAGTTATGGGCAGACCACTTTCTTACACAAAGTTGTCCTAAGTTCACTGAAACAAAAAGCTTTCTTTGATTGACTTTAGTTGAGAATAGAAAGAGAAGGTTGTATTCTCATTTCTTCACAGCGATGTATATACAAGAGAAGAAAGAATATAATTCCTATATTAGCCCCTAACTATCCTAAAGCCTCTATGTTGGTCCATACAAGTCACATACGTTCTAATCCATCGGAAGTAAATGCAATTATTTGATACTTCATTTGATATCAGTTTGTGCTAAATCCAATAATTTCATGATCAACATGCTCGACCATTCTGTGTCAAAATGATATTAAACTCATAATTTCATTTAAAGTACAACTTACATGTCATTATTGATTTTATATACAATAAAATAGAAAATAATTTATTTTTTTAAAGAACTTAATATTTTTCTGATATAGGGAATTATTCTCATCCTCATAGAAGTTAGTATTTATACCCAGAAAATATATGGCTTCAAAGGGTCACTGAACTTTTGGCCTATAGGACCTCACCTCATTTTTTGATTTTATATGATTTATTTTTCTTTCATTGTACATATACCTAATGTAATTAGTTTGATTCTAGTTTTTACATGTTGCATTAACATTGGTTTTGTACGTTTTAATGTTCTTTTCCTCCTCTGTGCACAGATTCTCATCGGCAACGCATAGTTAACTGGATAAATGCAACAGGTGGCACCTCTTCTGCATTTGATGTCACTACAAAGGTGTCTTCTTGAACATCATCCTTCATTATTTTGCCACCAAATCTCTTTTGTTTTCCTTAAAAATTATAGACTTGTTCTTTGTCCCTATTTTTTTGTTATTCTAATTCGAATTAAAACCTTATAAACTGGATCTTAAGATGAAGTAGTTTAAAGGTGCTCATATCACAACGAAGGTGTCTTCTTGAACATCATCCTCATATTTTTGCCACCAAATCCTTTTTGCTTTCCTTAAAAATTAGAAATTTGTTCCTTTGCCTAATTTTCTTGTTATTCTAATTTAAATTGAGACCTTATATACTGGATCTTGTGATGAAGTGGTTTAAAGGTGCTCATACCTACATGCTGTGTTGCTAGAAGTTTATTTTTCACTACGTTAGATAAGTTGATTGTGGTAGATTAGAAATCAGTTGTTTTAATAATGCTTTTGACGTGATTCATTGTGCCACAATTGCTTATGAAAATAATCCATTATTTGCTTATCATATGTTATATGGTCAGCTATAAGATTAATCCTCTTATTTGCAGGGTATTCTCCATTCTGCACTGCATAATCAATATTGGAGGTTAATAGATCCTCAAGGAAAACCAACAGGAGTTATGGGATGGTGGCCCTCTCGTGCTGTCACGTTCTTAGAAAATCATGATACAGGATCTACACAGGTATCATCCAAAAAAAAGAAAAAAAAAAAAACACCAATACAACATTACTTTTATCAGCTTATATAATGGCGTAATAAGGGGCAAAGCTAGAAGAGTTGCCCTTACATTTTATCAGTTATTATTATTATTATTATTATTATTATTATTATATCAAGCAGGCACACACCCGCCTTTCTGTGCAAGCCTGTAGGGAGTACATGTGTAACATCCCAAGTTACACTTGACTGATTTTTACTGTGAAAAACACTTTTGCTCAGGGTCATTGGCCATTTCCAAGAGAGAAGCTTACACAAGGATACGCTTACATTTTAACACATCCCGGGACTGTAAGTGTTTTTATGCCAACTTCACTAGTCTTCAAGTTTTAGGCACCAATTTTAGACACTTCCAGTCATAGTACTCCAGTCATTTGTTCTATGGAATAATGAGAAATGACCACAAGATTAATAAAATCATTGTATCTCCTATATGAAACAAACGAGCTTAATCTATGGGCCTCTGTTGATGGTTAAATTCTTATTTTCCAACACACTTATTCTTTCTTAATTCTTTTGTGTAGTATAACTCTAATGTGGTAAACATATTCCTCTTTTCAGCTGGTGATTAGAATAATAAGATCGTGGCTTAGTTGAAACTCTATTTGCCAAATTTTTAGGCATCGATTCATTGCTTGGGCAAATGATTGGGATTCTAATCATATTTTCTTACTGAATTTGCAGCCTGTGGTATTTTATGATCATTTTTACGATTTCGGCATCCGTGATACCATAACGGAGTTGATTGAAGCTCGGAGACGCGGTGGAATCCACTGCCGCAGCCCCATAAAAATATACCATGCTCATAATGACGGTTATGTTGCGAAAATTGGTGATACACTTGTAGTGAAGCTTGGACATTTTGATTGGAATCCTTCCAAGGAAGTTGATTTGGATGGAAGCTGGCAGAAGTTTGTGGACAAAGGAATAGACTATCAATTATGGTTGAGACAGTAAGTGCCTATTTGATACACTTTCATTATACAAGATTAGATACTATAATGAATAACAAGTTCGAAGTTTTTGTACTATTTCTATCTTCATGGGAATGACGGAATTGTAATAACTCCGATGAAGGGGTTCAAGAAGCGTCTTTGGTTTATTGTCACTATCGAGTAAACGAAACAGCATAATTTATTCATGTTTTATAGTTTTCACTTTTGTACAATTGATGAAGTATAAAACCATACCCTGTGTGATCATCAAGCTTCTGATAATTGTTTGCTGGTATTTCTTAAGCACAGGAGAAACCCAGAATTCTATTTTTTTAGGAGGGGTGTTTGAAATGAATAGTAAGAAATGAGGTAAAACTTTTGGTAATTTCATTTTATTTGAATAATATTAACAGATTTATGAATTTGACCGTCCCAAATCTTTACCCAATGTTGAAAAAGGTAAATACTACAAAAGTTCTTAAAAAATAGAATCAATATTGATTTGAAAAAGATGTTTGTTTCGGAGATGTGGGGATCGAACCCCGTGCCTCTTGCACTCTACCATTTGAGCTATATCCCCTTTAATGATATTATATTAGGTATTAAAAGAGAGCAAGAAAATAACATAAATTTCTTTTATTTTATTCACTCTTCCACTTAAGAAATCAATTTCAAGCTTGTCTTGAGAAAATAATATTTGCATTAAACGTCCGCGACAAGAATCCCTTCTTATGAGCTGAATAATATTTCATCAAAAGTCCTTACCCATGAAAAGTAATGTGACATTTAGATAACTTATAATTATAAAGATTGTTCGATAGTGATTTTGAGAATAAATTTCTTGACTGTTAGAGAGAAAAGTGGGTCTTATTTGTGAGTGAAGAAATAAAAAAATGACGATTGACTTATGGAAGGAACAATTAAAAAATTGATTTTTTTGAGTGAAAAATCAGAATTAAAGGGGGGCTGAATGTAAAATTTAAGAGGACAATTCAATTAATATCATATCGTTAGTTTTAGAAACGTAAGTAGGGGCAATCCCAGCTATATAGGATTAAACATGCTTCAATGACTGTCTAATTATGATTATTGTTAATTATTATTATTAAATAAGGCGGCAGATAAAAAACTGACGCAATATCAAGACAGCAAAAATAATTAATAAATAATAATTCCACGCACGAAAAGTCCTTTTTGTCCCGGAAAAAATTACAAAAAGCAATTATACAAGAAAACGATACGCGCGGTGTACACAGCGCGTGGAAGACCTCTCCTATACCACTTTTTCTTCCTTTCACTTTCACACCTAAAAGTTATCCAGTACTATCTCAGGTGTACGTGGAGCTGCAATCTTGACCGACACTCAAGTAAATATCTGATCGGACGCTCCCAATTTTACAATGATCAAACAATGCATAGCAGGGAACCAAATCTCACGTTCGGATTTCCAAGCCTGAATCCTAACCGTCCACTCTGCTCCGAACTTAACAGGCTCCGCCCAAATGCAGTACCATGGAGGAGTATTTTTTTTTGTAGTTTCTTGCACGGTTTTGATGGCTTTATTATCTTGGAACTTGTCTGGAAAACATAACCACCTCCTCACTGGAGCTAGAGAGAGAAAGCAAGCAACAAAATGTGATAGCTATACATACATGTTTTGTAAGTATATACAGTGAGAGAAAGAAGAAGCATTTTGTAGAGTTCCAGCTCAAAGAAATTGCAGTATCTTGATCTCCCTTTCATAAATTAATATTTGCTAAGTAAGTCTAGGAAGGTAAATATCACATTCACACTCAACAACCATCAATTATTTATCTCAGATCACTCAATAATTACTTAAAACTACGGTTTTTACCGCTTGTCTTGCTTGAATATGGTCAAGGTTCGATTTTTTGTCTTCTTTCATGCATGTTGAGTTGTGCAATTAGTAATTTGAGCGGCGTTTTGGGGAATTTAACTCTTAATTTTGGTAAAGTGGAGTTGAAACTGATTATATTATGAGGTTTTTATATGTTTTTGTGGAATTTGCGGTGAAGAATTTTGGTATTTTGTAGCATGCAAGATCTCTTTAGGGTTTATTGGTGGGTGAAATTCTTGGAGATTAACTTCAATTCTTGAATTAATTGTACATTTGATTGGTTGTAATTGTTATCTAAAGACGGAGTTTAGTTGGAACTTTTTCGGTGATAATTGTTGATTGATTTACGGCATTAATTTTGGTAACCAGGGGTTGTTTTCGGCTGATTAGCTGTGTCACTATTTTTATCATCTTTATTTGCAGAGAAGTAAATTATTAGCAAATTTCGGTAGTGATTTACTATGTGTACTTACAAGAAGAATGAATTTTTATAATTCCTTGTTGATTTGGCTACTGTTCCGTCTCTTTCTAGAAAGTTAAGATTTTGAATAAGACGACTTGTAATCGTAATGAAGATGTTTATTTAGGTTTGGAACTTCTTTTTTGTTTTAAGGTTTAAGCTATCAAATTGAAAACACATTTGCACTTTCGTTAATGAAAATTTTGCAGCATAGAATTGATGGTTTTTTTTTTTTTTTTT